CTTTTTTTCCTTGACTGTCTGTCTGAACATCTACAATTCAGACAACTGAGGATCATTCCTAGCTATGGAGTGTTTTTTGTTGGCTATGCTGAGTGTTTTGAAGAGACGAGGACAGCAATGATGCAAACCTGCCTGATCTGGGTTGCCAGAAGTATAAAAACGTTGTTTTGCAGTGGGAATCTCCTTGCCCCCAGCCCCTTGGTAGAAGAAAATGAATGATGAAGCAATCTGCAACCTCAGGAAGTTTAGGATATGAGAAACACCTTTAGCCAGTTTCTGACTGTGCAAGTTGTAGTTACTTAACAAGATGAGTTATATTATTTCAGCACTGAGGAGCAGAATTACCAAGAGGTTTTGACACTTGCCATAACTAGGTTTTATGTGAAGGGAAACATAAACCTTGCATCTGGGCATCCTGTGCATACAGAAACATGGACAATGAGGTGCTAAGATCAGTAACACAGGCCAAGATTCCTTTTATCCTGAAGAGAATGACTTTGGAATTGATTTGAAAGTGAAGAAAGTAAAAGACATGACTGAAAAGAGCTGCTTTGCTAGAGCAGCCATTCAAACATGTACTTTATGTTTGGCTAGGGAAACATGATCACAGACTTCATATTCAGGGTGGTCTAAGCTAATCTAGTTCACTTTGCATGTTCTGGTGATTTTTGACTATGATATCCTGCTTTGCATTTGTGGCAGGCTAGTGTTATAAGTCAGTAGCAGCAATAAATTCTTAAATTGTGGTTGCTGCTAATAATGATTTTGTGTTCTTTCAGAGGGTTGTAAATCATCTTAGATTGTGGGGTTCTTTTAATCTCTGCAGCTAGATTACTATTTCATCTCTAGCACTGTAATATTTAACTGGGAGCTAACAAATGAACTATTATTTCAAGGTTGGGTTTTTTTTAATATCATTGGAGTGCTGTGTATTTCCTAGTCTGGTCAAAGCCATTTGCTCCTAAAAATTCTTATTTAAACATGAAGCTAAAAGATGCTGATTGACGCTGGATAAAATTTCTTTCACAGTCAGTGAATCGGGCGAAGGATATATTTTTTGGTCTATTGAAGATGTCTATAGATTCAAGCTGAATTCGGTTAATGTTTGGAGTCCTAAAATGGAAGATTGCTTTAGGGAATTGGAGCTTTTCATTCTGAAACACGAAAACTGATTTAAAAGAAAAAGGAAAAAAAAAAAAAGAAAAAGAAAAAAGCCTTGAGAACAACAAACTCAGTGTCCTTTTCAGCGCTGAGTAAGCCGCTTTAGTCAAAATGCTGGTAACCCTGATCTCCCTAACTTGGCCACAGTTTTTAATTTCAGGTACTGGTCTTAAGAAAAGCCTACTAGACTGAACTTGTCGGTAGATTTGTATGAATACACGCAATCCCCTAGTGAGGGGTGAGAGCAGGGGCTTCGAAAAGCAGAGCAGGGAACTAAACAGCAGGTCTATGGAGATCTCATGAGGCTGAACATTAACTGATCTGTGGTGGTTTTTCTCTTCCTATCCCTTGGAAGACCTTATAGGTTTTGCTTTCATTCAGGTGTCCAAACAGAAAATACCTGAAGCCGTAAATTTTTTTCACAGTGGAAAGACTGTCCTCCCAGCCAGCTATAATTAAGAGTCAAATTTTTTCAGAGGGGCTGGATTTGCCCTCTGTGGGTCACTGGCTGGCATTTCCCTTAGTGTAGATGAGAGGCTGAAACGCTATGTTGCATGTCAAGAGATGGAGCACTCACTGTTCAGAGAGTGCCTATCTGTGCTGGTGAGAGTACAGGATAGCACTGAGGCAGATCTGCTCCACTTGTGGAAGTCCTTGGAGAGCAGAGACTCTGAGCTGCAGCCCTTCAAAACACGGCACTGCAGAGCTCAGTGTGCACTGACCCACACAATTAGATATGCTCAGTGCAGGAGGGAGGCTGTCACAGCCTACTATTATGGCCAGGCTACTCACAGTACCTGACATTGCTAATTTGAAGATAGCTTGATGTGTCTACATTGATTTCAATCACAGTAGTGACTTTCTTTCCATGGATACAGCAACCTGTAGATAGACTAATTGTTTACTCATATTTTTGATTAGTGTGCATCACTTCTTGCCTTTTATTGCTGCTCTTCTTTAAGAAGAATTTAAATATTCAAGGACATGTAAAGCCCACATGTATCTGTGAGTTAAATAAGAAGCAAGTTTCTAAACCTTGTATTTGGATTTTTATACTAGCTAATACAGAAATCAAGTGGATGTGACCAGTGCTCAAGGACTGAGCTTCTAAATCTTTCTGAAAGCTTGAGGTTAAGGCTGAGAAACCTCAGCCTAAAGAGTGCTCATGGATCACATCCCCTGTTTCAGTGTCCACAGGATTCAACCATCTTATTAAGGCTTTCATGTTTGATCACTAGATTTTACATCATCAGAACCAGGAATTTTCTTCATAAATTAATTTTGAGCAAATTGACAGTATCTGTCCCACCTCATTCTTTGTAATAGTTCAGGTAGTGTTGCAACTTAGTTCTGTCTCACAGTGAGATGGTTTGATGGGAAAACACTAGGTCTGATTTTAACAAGAGTTTATGCAGGTGTATTCCTAGAGTTACTTTATTTTATTGGATCTCATCCTTTGTATCTCTCTTGAGCTTTAGCTGGGCTTTAGACATTGAATTTTATTAGCTTCAGAATTTCATGGCTGTGCAGCTCACTGCCAAGGAACAGAAGTTATTGCAATGGCTTTAATAGGAGTGTAATTTCATCCTTAGTATTATGGAGGTTTCATTTATAGTTTCTTTTAAAATGCCATTCTTAAAACATGAACAAGTCTGATTATTCTGCTAAGAACTGTGCACACTGAGGATATGTGTCAATGATTGGCATTATATTGTATTTAACAAGCTGAGAAATATTAACAGTTTGAGGATTTGAAGCCAAAGCTATTGGGAATCCTGTTAGGCAGTATTTTTAGAGAAAATCTTATCCATGACTAAAAGGTAATGATCTCAGTACATCTCTCAAGGATCCAAGCAAATGAGTTGGGGTTTGTTTTGTTTTGTTTTTTAAGGAGAAAAGGGATTGGAGGGAGACAAGAAGTGGCATTTGCTCACTGCTAAGGTATTCTTTGACTAATAAACACTTTGAGGTCAGCAGTATGGTCCTCTGAGTGCTCACATGAGCACAGGTGAGGAATATCTGAGAGGTGAGGTGTGTCAGGTCCTTCAAGGTGCCAGGGAAATCCTGGGAAATAGACACCTTTGAATTGTACCTCCAGCAGTGGTCTCCTAATACTGAGTGGAGCAAACACAGACTGTTCTCAGCTATGGAATCTAGTGGTACCACCCAGCTGGACTTTTACCTCCCATGAGAGATGACACTGGAGAGAGGACTCCGGTGAGCTGCTGGAAAGGGCAGGGGCTGGAGAGCAAGCAGCTGCCACCTGTTTGCAGGAGGGTGCTTTTGAATGGAAGCACCACACCTCTTCAGTACTCTGCATCATCCCAGCCAGTACTGACAGAGAAGAATAACATCGGATTGACACCTGATGAAGAGATTTGGTTTTGCCACGACTGGTGTTATGAAGTCCTAATGGCCCCTGCTTTGGCATGCCACGGGGAATCTTGATTGCACTTTGTTCCCCCTTTTGTGTGGGGCATGTTTTTAGGCACAGCACTACACAGGGCCAGTCTGCACTGTGCCTTTGCTCATGTGAAACCCAGAGCACTGGGGAGTACAGTACAGAGAAAGCACTCTTGAATTTTTCAAGGTTTTTTATCTCTGGCTGAGCATAAAACTGGAGGGACTTGGGATGGTTCCAGCAAAGCCACAGTACCAATAAGGTAATGCTGTACAGGACCTGTTTGGGTCTTACAAAACCAGGTGAGGTCCAACAGGGTTATCTAGCCCTGTTTCTGTGCTGTGCTTAAGTACTACCCTGCTTCTCTTGGCCGTGGAAGCGCTCGTGCTGTGCTGTACCTGAGTTAATAGATCTCACTGAAGCTAAGCTGCTTCTGCATTTAGCCACAGTATTGTGTACCTGCAGCTGCACCATGGCTGATTTACAACTTGGATAGAATGGCTTGAGGCAGCTGAGAGTGGACTGCTGAGATTCAGGTGCACTTTTCATTCTATTTCACTTCCATAACATAATATGAGGAATACAAGGAATGTAGAGAGATGACAGCTTAGAAAAGGAGTTTGGAGCAGGTTGACACCTATAGTGTGAGGGAGCTATATACTGCAGCTTTTCAAATAGTAGTTGGACACTTGGCCTTCTGTGTCGTAAATTTACAAGACTGAGGTTGTGTGTGTTTGACAGACAACAGGGCAGTTTTTGCTGCTTTCTTTCAGCAGCAGCAGAGCTGGCAAAAGTGAACACCAGCAGTCTTGCTCCTGGGATCCTGTCACCTCCTCCATTAGACCCCTATTTCACAGTGTACCAGCACCAGAGACTGAGGCACTTGAAAGAATTCCCGACTCCCTGCCCTGTGTGATGGTTCCCACCCTTGCCCCACAATTCCTGTCCCCTCAAGTTTGCTGAGGGTGGCAGTTTGTGAAGATGAGTAATAAGATGTATCTGTCAACTGGCTTAAATCAGTTCTCTTAAATATTTTTATATATATATATATATATATATATGTATATATGTAAAGTTCCTTCTCTGTTGGGGATCAAAAAAAGTACAATTATGTTTGTGTGACTGCTTAAGAAAATACATGTGGAAGCTCATCCTTAATTAAACAAATGCTATGATTAAGGCAAATGCTAAGACAGGCAAACAGTTCCTTCATTTTCCAATGTATTAAAAAAAATTTCATTTTTTTCAGCATTGCTTGAGAAACCTATCAGCAAAAGACGAGACAGTGAAGCTGTACAGAAGGCCAAGATCCTTTACGCATCCTGCATGAATGAAAGTAAGTAAGTGACCTAATTTGGGAGGGACACATATGCATTACCTGTGTTTATAAAGGCAGGCTTCTTTGCTCTCTACTGAGCTCTGTGAAGCTTTGTGTAGAAACACAGATTTCGCTGATTTGGATTAGAGGGTCTTCTACCCATTTGCTGAAGCTGGCTATTGAGATTAAGGTACAACAAGGCACAAGAAGTCAGTTTTACAGAGACCTCTGCTTGTCAGGGAACTGTGAAGGGATATTTATCTATGCAAAAAGATGTCAAAACCATGCCCTGGGGGTGTGGGGTTAGTGCCTAGGAAATCAGAAGAGCACTGGTGAAATTCTCATACTGATGCTTTTCAATAGCCTGTTGCTCAGCACCTTCTACCTTTCTCTAAATCCATGTAATCAAAACACTCCCGTACCACTGGGTATAGATATTCCTGGACTTTCAGTTATCTGCAAGTCAAACAAGTTTGGGCAGGGAGCACTATAGCCACACCTGCGAAGTGCTTTTTCTGAGGTTGTAAATGTTGTTGTAAGGTGATGTACACTAGGCTGGGTCACATCACTACCTTTATGTAGCTGCACAGATGAAAGATGAGTTGGAAGGGAGTGGACTTTGTCCTTCAAAGTGCCCTTTGTCCTTCTGACTCTTTTAGACTTCATTTCCTGTGCAGTTTTCTTCCAGCACAGCCCAAGACTGACTGTCAGCAATTGAGATGGCCTGTCCCACAGCCTCGGTGCCAAGACTCTGACCCCTCTAGCGTTGATTATGTACAATAACCCACTCTCAGAAACAGTGAAGTTTTTATGCTAGTTTCTAAACAAGGAATGTTTTTAATAATTGACTTAATTCCAGCCCTTTGCCCTTTTTGAAAGGCACTGATTTGTCTCTCTTATACTTGATGCAGATAAACTGGGTTGGATTCCTGTGCTTCTGTGCTCACAGGCAGAGCAGAGGCTTTGAGTTTCAGCTATTGTGTTTTGTCTTGCCTTGAAATCGATCAACGCCAATAAATCTTTGTGTCTCGTGTGGCTGCTGCTGGATTTGAATTGCCTGGAATGTAATTGTTGTCACACTTTGACATTCCAGATAAAATTGAAAAAGCGGACGTGAAACCCCTGTTAAGTATACTGAGGCATTCACCTTTCCGCTGGCCTGTGCTGGAATCTAACATTGGAACTGAAGGGCTGTGGTCAGAAAGGAGGTTTAGCTTAGTCCAAGCCTTGGCAACGCTTCGTGGTCAATACAGTAACTCTGTCTTCATCCGTTTATACGTGGCTGCTGATGACAAAATCTCCAATCGATACATCCTGAAGGTAAAATATAGCATATCTAATAGGTTACTCTGCATAGTATTTTGTGATCTAATTCTTTTAAAAACATGTTTACATGCCAAATCTTTACACTTGATCATTGTTGCTATTATCTACTCACAGATATACATAAGCGCCAATTTATGGGAACAAGCCACTAGGAACCACACACTATTGAAAAATATTTCTGTACAGGATATTTTTCTCCTTTCAAATAGAAAAAAAAAAAAAAAAAAGTTCACAGTGGACCAATGTCCAGGGTCTATATGCATGAAAATGAGAAAGGTGGCTATCTAGTCCTGGGGTTGTTCTGGGTGAAGAATACTTTTTTATCTGTGAAGATTCTATGGTGTATCAGTAGCAGATATTTTGAACTTAAGCTATTTTTCTTGAGAGAAAACACATTATCTTGTTCTTATACAACACCTTACAACACAGGTGTATCCGAAACACTTCTAAACCCGAAATACAGAATTTACCTTTTTACTGAAATGCTATTACTTTTGGACCAAAGCATTAACAGTTTGTTAACAGTACATGGCATTACACAACAGTTTAGATTAGTGAGAAAAAGACCCAAGCAATGTTGCCTCACTGTAGTCTGACAAAACTCCAGAGAGAATTGTATTACTGTGAGATGTCACCATGGAAAGACTGAGTATCTGGGCCAAATGTACTGTTGTTTAAGGAGAGATGAGTAGCCAGAGTAGAGCAGCCCTCCCCTGCTACAAGAAAGTAATTTATGAAGGCAAGAGATAAGGGACAAAGAAGAAAGTTAAGATGCCATTCATCACAGCAAAATAGGATCTATGATCCTGATGTTGCTAGCATCTTGGCTAGCTGTAGGAATGTAGCCAAGAATACATTGTTTTGGGGGATCAAACAACAGTTACCTGTGGTGGTACTGGAGTGGGTGTCAATTCTGAGTTGTTTAAAATACCTTTTGACTGAGGCATTTAACTGGTATAAAATTGAAAGGCAACTTTTCCTCATCTCTAGGACATTTTTCTGAATAGTCAACAACAGATCAACAGTTCACTCTATTAAATAAAGATGTAATTCTGCTAAGATGCTGTTCAGATCCTGTCAGGATTGGTTTGGCTAGAGATTTGTTTAAAAGAACTAAAACAATAGAATCAGGAGAGATATTTAGATATCTCCTGCCATAATATTTCAGTTGAAGTCACCTGTCAGTAAAGGACTGGGCAGTTATATCCTTATTGCTGGTCTCTTGGAAATGAATTATACTTAGCAGTATCTTCACTCAGTATGCTTAGGTATCTAAATAACCGAAGCACCACATGCTGTGAATAATATACTATACCATAGAGTATTCTGTTGTTCCTAATTTGATTAAGAACTTGATCTGCAGAATGCATAGGCCAGTATTCCACTTTGTGTTTTAACAAAATCCCAGGAGTGTAGCTGTACCATGGAGTATTTCAATCTGCTTGTGAAAATGTCGCTATTGCAAAATTCTTTTTGTTCAGCATTGCAAAATCATGAATGGATCAGGAAAAAAGTAAAAACTCCAAATAAAACTTTGCTCAATGTTCAACGTGATCTTTTGTTCTTGAGGGCTGAAGAAGTTGGTTAACTTTTTTGTTTGTTTCTCATGTTTGTGCTTTCTTGGTTTCAATGGGTTGTCAAATCTAACTCTTAAGCCAGGAAAATTTGGATGAGTATTTCATGTAACAGTCACATAATTGAAATAGACCAAATAATCTGAAGTTAACTATTACCAGGACACACATATGCAAAGCATAAGAGTATATTCTTTTTGTTTCAATATGCTGAAAAAAGAAGATGATACTGTTTTTCAAAGAATCAGAGTTGTACTGAGTATCACAGATACTCTCCTTCTAGTGCATGATTTGGTTTATTTGCTTATGGTATATTTTAAAGGCTGAGAACATCAGCCAGTAGAGGAAAAGATTATATTTGTTAATTCATTTCAGATTCTAAGTTGTATTTATTTAGGTAATTTTTATAAATATATAAAATGTGAAATATGTGATGTAGGTTTTAGATTAAAAAGACATGTGAAATTGTATGAATAAATACAATCTCTCTTCACTAGACTTATCTTTAAAAAAAAAAAAAAGCACCAAAATAATAATTTTACAACATCAAAACTGTTGTTTCTGCTCTAATCAGTATCTTACTTAATTTGGAAGCTGGTTGAATTATGTTTTCAGCTTTGGCTTCTATACCCTAACATAACCTCACCTCATTGAAGTGTTTTGGGAAATCTGAGTTTCCAGTACTAATTTTAATATATATGCTGCACTGAGTTTTGCCTGGTTAGGAACTTTAAACAGAGTGCAAATACTCCCATGTAGTAATTTCACTCAAAAGACTAAGTGCAGATCTCAATGAACTTTCAGGACTGGATTAGAAATTACCTTGAAGACCTCATTCCAATATTAGGCTGACTGTAGACCAACAAATTTGATCCACCTTTAGATCAAAAAGATAAGTGAAAGTCAAAGATCCATCTGGACCTACCAGACATCTTTAGCTAATGTACTGGAGACATAACAATTTCCTGTGCATGCATGCAATCATTTCTGTGGCTGGTATCCAGCTGTTTGAGTACATCTGTTCAAAAAGCCAAATACAACACACAGTGCTGGTCTAAGGTGAAGCTCAAAAGTGTGACCTTAATTTCAGTCAAAGAAGGGTAGTGATGCTTTACAGATACACAACAGCTAATGGCTGTCAGCACAGTATAGCATTTTTCTGTTGTTTTGAAATCCTATGGAACTCAGGCTGGTGCAGTGTATTATGTATTAGATATTAATGCACATCTTCCCTAATTGCCAGAAAAGCATGAACCCTTCCAAGGTTGCTTATAGGGCTACCTTAGAGTTCTGATTAATTTACCTCTATTAAATGCTGCTTTTTGTTATTTTTAACAGCTTGACCAAGCAAGCCTGTCTCTTGCATCCCGAGAGGATTACCTAGAAAACACCACAGAAGCCAAATCCGTAAGTATTATTAACTGGAAATCAAAGTGACCATTTTTCCCCTTAGTTTTTTTCATTGTGGCTTTTGATTTGTTGAGATCCAAACTGAGAAAGGGTTTTGGTTTGTTTAGATTTGGATTTTCCAGGATGTCTATCGGAAAACACCACTACAAACATCACTACCACAAACACTCTTGCAAATTTTCTCAAATTAAAATTTTTGTAAGATTTGGCATCCCCCCTGCTTTTCTTCTTCTCCCTTGGAAGGGGCCTCTGCAGTTCATTTTGTTCAGCCCCTCTGCTCAAGCAGGGTTGACCTCTGGAGTATACTACTAGTGACTGGCCTCCAACTGGACTTTGCGCTGCTGATCACAACCCTCTGGATCTGATCATTCAGCTCAGCCTTACCAGTCAAGACTGGAGCACAGTTGGCATTGAATGCCTTGGCCTTTTCAGTGTCCTTTGTCATCCTGCTCCATTTAGCAGCAGATCCATGTTCTCCCTAGTCTTTCTTTTGCTGTTATGTACTTGTAACTCCACACAGACTTCTAACTCCTGTTTGTTCCCTAAGCTGTGTGCAGTAGTGTAAAGGTATTTCCAAGGGACACAGTCATGCTGATTCTTCAGTATGGCCTTGAGAGCTTCCCGTATAAGGCTGTCCTTCAGGCACTTCCTTCTTTACATACCTAGCCTCAAAGGGGTTCCATTTCAGTTCTGTTGATTGTTATGTCCTCTCTTTTCCCATCACCCTGGGCCCTTCATTTGCCTACCTTATCCACACCTTCCTTAGTTGTTTCTTGAGGAATCACTCCCCCCTCCATTGTTTCTACTTTAAAGTTCTCCTTACCACGTTGGCCAGTCTGTTTGCAGAGATACTCTTGCCCTATTTAGTTAAATGGATCCCATCTCTTCCAAGTAGCTGTGAACTCTCAGAGGGTCCCATGATCACAGAAACCAAATCTCTGCTGCTGATGCCAGCTGAGCAACCAGACATTAACCTGCAAGATCCATCATGTCCTCCTGAGGCCCCTGCCCCTCACCAGCAGGATCAAGGAGAACCCCACCTGGGCCATAGCCTTGACCTCGGTCCCTATAGTCCTGTAGTCATGCTTGATATTTGATACAGGTCACCCCTGGCAATAGCATCGGTGCCTACCAGAAAAAGCAGCAGGGAATTGTAGTCAAAGGGCTGGATAAGCCTTGGAAACCTCCTGGATGTGATAACTCAATCGAACAGCAAACCTCCCTACATGAAAAATCAGGTTGGCAGATGGGGGCCTCCATCCCTTACAGTAGTGAGCCTCTTACCACTGTCACTTGCTTCTTCCTTCTAGTGGTCCTGAGGGGCTCTGGCTCAGCCACAGCGCTCCAACTGATAATGCTCCTGTGTCCTCATCGGCTACAAGATCAGTGGAGTTCCAGCCTTCACTGTGATGGGAGTTTCCACCTTCCAATTTCATAGGCACAGGCTACTCCTGCTCTTCTGCTGTAGCTGAAGGTCCAGGCTTTTAAAGCAGATCGACCAGAAAGATCTGGTTGATCTTTCTCATCTCCTCTGAGGCTGTGTTGTCTGCTGACCTCTCACAACTCTTTCACTTAGCAGCACAGCTGTTCAGCAACTGCACACCACCTGCATGCTACAAGATCATGTGTCGCAGCCTTAGTAAGAGGCCTTAGCCATCCCCTGCATCCTGAGACTTGCAGAGCTGCATCCTTCCTTATGAAGCACCGTCTTGGTCCAAGAGTCCAATAACAAAGAGACAGTTATGCCAGCAGTGCCTGGGGATCATGTCCTGTGGTGTGTGACCACCAACCATATCTAAGGATGGGTATACCAGACAAAGTGTGCTGGCCTTTTCTTTGTGAACTGCTGCATCTGTTGACAGCCTCTGGGAGCTGTGCTCTGGGCCTGGCTCTTATGTAGTCCTCTCTCTGGCATGGGCTCAAAGAGTGCTCAACTTTCTCTGATCAGGTATCAGCTAGAAGAAAGGCTCTGGGTACTCTTTGATCAAGCACAGCTGCCAGTGTTAGCAGCTGCTGGAGATACCCTCACCTTAGCTTTTACTTGACCTGGTGTCAGTGGGACCCCTTGTGTCCCTTGGGGAGGGGATTCAGGAGTTCCCAGATCATGAACAAAGTGCCCAGAAGCTCAAGAACTTCTCAATGAAGTCGAGCCCAGAAGCTATCATGTTCGCAAGCTGTCTCAGTCAGCTGCCCTCTGGGCCTGTCTCTTGGGCTCAATTAGGCCAGAAGGCTGAGCACATTTCAAGAGACGCTGCAGGTTATTATCATCAAGTTGACCTGAATTAATTTAATAAAAGGAACAAGAGTTCCTCAACAGATTTCAAATATTCATTTCCTCTTTCCCTCCTGCTTTATGATTTCTCTGCTACAACTTAGTTTCTTGCTGCTTTTCTATGGACAGCAGTTGGGAAGCAATGATGTTTATCAAAAACTTTAATGTATCAATATTTGATAATGGCAGCACCCTTTTCCCCCTCACTCTGGAAGGCCTGTGGGCAGTATCCAGCACATGCAGCCTAAAGCTCAAAGAAAACAACCCCTTGGGTTGTCATGGGGACAAGTCATTGCTGTTGATTACGTTTTTATAGTTTTGCTTCCCTTTTGAGTTCCCTGAGAGGTTAGTACATTTTTTAGCCACATCTATCAAACTAGAGGATGCCAGGATACACATAATTGTGTGTATCCTATTAATATATAAATCCACCCAGATTAAAGGTGGAAATACGTTAGGATACGTTTTTGCTTTTATTGGACTGTGGGCTGGTAGGAGTTGATGAGGAGCAATCTGTTCCCTCCAACATCTCTGAAAGATTGTACTGGGGGAGAGGTAGCACAAAAATCACTACAGTATCATTACATACAGTGTATTTTGCTAACATTTGTGTATACACAGTAAGAATAAAATGTGCTTTATTAGGATAGCTCAAGGAGAGCAGAGCAGAGCAGGTACATATGTTGCAGTGTCATGGTAGGAATAGAGGAGAGCTCAGTGGAGCATCCCTTCATCCCTATTTTTCTCAGCCACTAAGCTTGCACTTGTATACAAGTAATTCTTCAGTTCTACACTGATTACTGTATAAATTGTCATAAAATATTGGTGTACACTCATACACATTGTCTAATCCCATTGTAAGAGCTCTATAAGTGTTGTCAGTCTAATCCAGAAGTGTCATTTGCATTTCCTGACATTTATACTCTGTGAACCACAGCAGATATCTCTGTCCGTCATGCACATTATATTTACAGTGTTATTTCTCCTTTTCTCCTTGATGACAGCAGGTATTCAAGGTAAGGAAAGCACAATTTTGGTTGCTAGGGCATGAAAGTACAAAGTATTAAACTCTTTGCTATAACTGGGCATTTCTGGTCTACTGCTACAGCTGTGCTCAAGAGCAAATCCACCACTCATTTCACTTGTTTTGTTTCTTTACAGTACCGAGATGCCTTTTTGCAGTTCATGGTTGATACAGCAGTGCTGCTGGGTGCAAACGCCTCACGAGCTGAATCTGATATGAAGTCCGTTCTAAGACTGGAAGTTAAAATAGCTGAGGTTGGTAATCTAAGGTGGGATTGAAGCTAGCTTTTACAAAAAAGTGCAATCCTTTTTCAAAATGGAATGCCATTATATCAACAGTCTTAGCAATAGTGGTTTTTGGAAGCAGAAGGAAAGAAGCAGAAGCTGATGAAGAAAGGATGAATATTCCTCCTTTAGTTAATTGTTAAACTGATTATTTTATTCTCAGGGGAAAAAATCTTAGCCAAATACTCTTGATCCTTTAAATTGTTAATAAGTCAAACAGCCTTGCTAGAGATAAGACTGGGCACAGCATGCCAAAGTGCTGTTGAGGTCCTTTGTTCTGCCGTCTCAGCAGAGGTAGGAGATGGAGATCCATGTGACGGCAAAGGTGCAAGGGTTATTGATGTGTTAGAAACCATGGAAGCACCTGAGAACAGTTATGTAGGAGTTGGGTCTTCTCCCCACAAATAGGTGGTGGGATCAATAGCCCATCTGAAGTGCATCTAGACCAATGCACAGGAAGCCATTCTGCAGCTGGAAAACTGTGATATAGTTGTAATCACAGAAACTTGATGGGATGACTCACATAACTGGGGTGCTGCAATGGATGACTATAAACTCTTCAGAAGGGATAGGCTCTGCTGATGCTGATAATAGGGTTGAATCTTTATGGTAAGAATCAGAGGGAAGGCTGACAAGACAGATATCATGGTGAGATTTTATTATAGACCACCTAACAAGGCAAATTAAATATTTTATAAGCAGCTGGGAGAAATCTTACAACCACTATCCCTTGTTCTCATGGGGGACTTCAATTTACCAGATGCCCACTGGAAATACAATACAGTGGAGAGGAAACAGTTTAGGAGGTTCCTGGGGAGTGTGCAGAAGATAACGTCCTGACACAACTGATAAGGGAGCCAACTAGGGAAAGCACCCCGCTGGACCTGCTGTTTGTGAACAGAAAAGGACTTGGAGGTGATGCGGTGGTTGGAGGCTGTCTTGGGCATAGTGATCATGAAATGATGGAGTTTTCAATTCTCAGAGAAGTAACGAGAGGGGGTCAGCAGACCTGCCACCTTGGACTTTCAGATGGCAGACTTTGGCCTTTTTAGGAGCCTGGTTGACAGAGTCCCTTGGGAGGCAGTCCTGAAGGGTGAAGGGGTCCAGGAAGCTTACATTCTTCAAGAAGAAAATCTTAAACTCATAGGAGCAGACCATCCCCATGTTCCAAAAGATGAACTGACAGGGAATAAGACTGGCCTGGCTGAACAGAGAGCTTTGGCTGGAACTCAGGAAAAAAAAGAAGGAGAGTTTATGACCTTTGGAAGAAGGGGTAGGCAACTCAGGAGGACTACAAGGATGTCATGAGGTTATGCAGGGAGAAGAGTAGAAGGGTGAAAACCCAAGAGACAATACAAAATGTTTCTATATATACATTAGCAACAAAAGGAGGGCCAAGGAGATTATCCATCCTTTATTAGATGCAGGGGGAAACGTAGTGACAAAGGATGAGTAAAAGGCTGAGGTACTCAATGTCTTCTTTGCCTTAGTCTTTAATAGTAAGAACAATTGTTCTCTGGGTATCCAGCCCCCTGAGCTGGAAGACAAGGATGGGAGTGGAATGAAGCCCCCATAATCCAAGGGGAAATAGTTAGCAACCTGCTATGCCACATAGACACACACAAGGCTATGGGGCCAGATGGGGTCTACTGAGGCAGCTGACAGAATTGCTCACCAAGCCACTTTCCATCATTTATCAGCAGTCCTGGCTAACTGGGGAGGTCCCAGTTGACTGGAAGTTAGCAAATGTGATGCCCATTTACAAGAAGGGCCAAAAAGAGGATCTGGGGAACTACAGGCTTGTCAGTCTGACCTCAGTGCCAGAGAAGGTTATGGAGCAGATCATCTTGTGTGCCATCACACAGCGTGTCCAGGACAACCAGGTGATTAGGCCCAGTCAGCATGGGTTTATGAAATACAGGTCCTGCTTGACTAACTTGATCTCCTTCTATGACAAAGTGACTCACTTAGTGGATACGGGAACAGCTGTGCATGTCGTATACCTAGGCTTTAGTAAAGCCTTTGACACTGTTTCCAACAGCATTCTCCTGGAGGAACTGGCTGCTCATGGCTTGGATGGGTATACTTTTTGGTGCATAAAAAACAGGCTGGATGGCTGGGCTCAAAGAATTGTGGTGAATGGAGTTAAATCCAGTTGGTGGCTGGTCCCAGGTGGTGTTCCCCAGGGCTCAGTACTGGGGCCAGTTCTGTTTAGTATCTTTATCAATGATCTGAACAAGAGGATCAAGTACAACCTCAGTAAGTTTGCAGATGACAGCAAGTTGGCTGGGAGTGTTGATCTACTTGAGGATAGAAAGGCTCTACAGAGGGATCTGGACAGGCTGGGTTGATGGTCCAAAACCAGCTGTACAAGATTTAACAAGGCTAAGTGCCAGGTCCTGCACCTGGGTCACAACAATCCCATGCAATGCTACAGGCTTAGGGAAGAGTGGCTGGAAAGCTGCCCGGTGGAAAAGAACTTGGGAGTGTTGGTCAACAGCTGGTTGAATATGAGTCAATAGTGTGCCCAGGTGGCCAATACTGTGGCCAATAGCATCCTGGCTTGTATCAGAAATAGTGTGGCCAGCAGGACTAGGGAAGTGATTGTCCCCCTGTACTCGGCACTGGTGAGGCTGCACCTCAAATACTGTATTCAGTTTTGGGCCTCTCGCTACAAGATGATGAGGTGCTGGAGCACATCCAAAGAAGGGCAAGAAAGCTGGTGAGGGTCTAGAGCACAAGTCCTGTGAGGAGTGGCTGAAGGACCTGGGGTTGTACTGGAGAAAAGAAGGCTCAAGGGAGTCCTTATCGCTCTCTACAACTCCCTGAAACGGGGTGGTAGCAAGGTGGGTGTTGGTCTCTTTTCCCAGGTAACAAGTGATAGGACAAGAAGAAATGTCCTCAAGTTGCATTAGGGGAGGTTTAAATTGGATATTAAGAAAAATTTCTTTGCTGAAAGGGTTGTCAGGCATTGAAACAGGCTGCCCAGGGAAGTGGTGGAATCCTTATCCTTGGAGGTATTTAAAAGACATGTAGATGTGGTGCTTAGGCACATGGTTTAGTGTTGGATTTAGCAGTATTAGGTTTACGGTTGGACTTGATGATCTTAAGGGCTTTTTCCAACCTAAATGATTCTATAATTCTATGATTCTGTGATTCTATAATTTTGAGGTTGGGCAGAATTTGAGTCCCTGCTGCGCAGCTATGTTAAGAATTCATTACCGTGTATTCAAGAAGCAGACCAGGCTGATTCTCTGAGGAACAGTCTAAGAGCAGTTCAGAACTGACACGGGGTACTGGCGCTTGGTAGTGAGAGGGTGGTGGTTACAGTAGCACCACTGTTGTCTCCTCTCCCAGGATGCCCCATGAAAGTAGCTCAGGAGACAAGAAACTCTATGAGTTTTAATTTAGGGGACCAACTGAATTTAGTAAAGTTAAGCAGATTTAAATATGGTATTTGGTTCTGACTGATTTACTTGATGACATTTTTGCCCCCTTGTGTAGTTTAATTTATGCCTTAGGACTGTTGCAGGCTGAAGGAGCGTTTCTGCTTCTCTGTATCCCTGTTTCACTATGACTACTGTGGGAATCGTGCTCCTAGGAGCTGAAAGTCCTCTATTGTTTCCACTTCTTCTGAAGCTAGAGAGAAGAGTTAACTTCAATGTTCAGAAACCAGCAAAAGTTAGGGCTACAAACTTGACACTGATTTGTAGAAGTGCCATTTGAGCTGAGTATTTCTTCATATTGCCAAGGAAAGAAGCTATCCTCTGTGAAATGCTGGGTCTCCTGTTAACAGAGAAACCTGTTGCACAGGACAGGTGATGCAGCATACGACTTCCCTGTGTTCTGCTGTTGCAGTCCACAGGAGGAGGGGGAGTGGTGCTTCTTAATGATGTCTGTGTGCAGAATTTAGGGCCATCTACAATAGTAGTAAATCAGTGTTTCCATCTCTCTGCTGAAAGAGATGAGATTTTGTCAAACCTCTAAATAAAGCCCAATATTCAGCTTCAGTTACCTAGTGCGGATGGACTAATGAGAAGATAGGTCATTGTGACCTAATAGGCTTGAAAACCAGAAAAATGTTCCTTCTCTTTATTGGTGATGTGGTAAGAAGATGCATTGCTACCTCTGGTAGCTCTAATGCTTTACCTGATGAATGTCTTACAGACCTTTAATCCACAAAGTATATAGGTGAAGTTGCCATATAAGATAACATGGATCATGTAACAGCCCTCAGGATCAGTAATGCATACTGTTATGCAACAAACCATACTTGCTCATGATTACCTAATTTCCCTTTAGTTTCAATAATCCTCATAAAATATATCTAGATATTAGGCATAAATCCAGGGACATAGACTGTTGCGTAATCTGTAACAAGCATAATGATTTCTATAAACATCTTACTATGATTTCAAAGGAGTTAGTCCTTTTTGTTATTTAGGCTTTTAATGCATCCTGTGTTCCACTACATTTGTTTTAGATGAACATATATAATGGAGAACCTGTGTGCTCAGAAAGAGACAGCAATAATAAAGGGAAGATAGATATAGGAAGGAGTGACATGCTTTGAGAGAGCTTCTTGTGTACAAGGAAGATTTCAGTTAGGTTTTAATTACTGGAGGAAGGAGGAGAGTTTTGAGAGGCAGGGAGCAAACGGGTTCAAGAAGAGTTTAAAAATTTGTCAGATAAATGAAATTTGCAGAAAGGGAGAAGAAAGTAATGTTTGGGTTTTGTTTTGTTGGTTTTTTTTTTTTTGCTGTGTAGCTTGAGCAATAGTAAAACCGCAGACACTTACTGGAGAATTTTGGTTGGAGAACTACCAGCTGTCTCGTTAGTCTCGCATCAATCTCTGTCCTCTTCAAACTGCACAGTGTACAGCCTGTTGTATAGGATTTACCTTAGAGCAGGTCTGGAATTGCCATCGGGAATTCATGTTTCTCTTGAACACTGAGAATATTTTGAGATATATCTTGTACTTGGTTTGTTTTTTTATTATGAACCATACAGCCTTCTTGGAATCTGAGTGTTCCTTGTCAGTTATAAAAGACTTGCTTTATATTTAGGATTTCTTTTGCTATGTCCTTGGACTTTGACACTGCAGATGACCCTGAGGTCTGGCTCTTCTTGTGACCCAGATGAGAGGCCTCGTTGGAGAATGCTTTAGTTCATGTTTGGACTATATACCCAGGTTTCCTGATATGAAAATCAGGATGGTGGGGTAAAATGAGGAGAAACTTGTGTGTATCTGTCTCTTCCCTCAAATGGAGTCAGGCCATAGCAAGAACTTGTTCAGATCCAAGAGATGAGATGTGCTTCTGACTTCCGTATCTCAGATTTGTCTTTTTAAACCATATAGTTTGGAGCTGGCTTCTACCTGACATGATGGGAGAAATAACTATTAATTGTCTAGGTGTGATTTTATCTCTTATGAATCAACATGCATTTCCTTAGTATAATCAGAGCTAAAATTGGTCTAATATCTTCAGAAAATACATGCAGCTTATTCAGTTCTCCCGTAACAAGTTAAACTGACAATGAACTGTTCCATTTCTCCTAGCTAAATGCCATCATCAGAAAGGGAAGTTAATGCCATGAATTCTTGGAAAACAGGTGGCGAAATATTTCTGCACTGGGATTATGATGGACAGTAATGATATAAGAACAGGTCCCTGCAACATAATTCTTGTTTTAATGTGTTCTTTTTTCTCCCCAGATCATGATTCCGTATGAGAATCGAACAAGTGAGGTGATGTACAATAAAATGAATATATCGGAGCTTAGTGCTATGATTCCACAGGTTAGTTGGGAATAACTGCAAAATTATTCTTGTGTGTGACCTACACAATAAAAATTGCCTTTAGTGTGCAGAGCAGCATGTTAAAGGAATGTCATCAGGAATGTGTGTACTCAATTACAATATATGTTTTTTTAAAATACAGTTACAACTTCAGTGAGCTGTGGAAACGTGTAATGACAAAGTGCAATTGTTTCGAAATTTCTAATCAGTAAAGCTTTGAAGCCATTAATCTCAAAGGTGAAATTTAATCAATCATCTCTCTTCATAATCTGCTTTAACCACCCTTCTTTTTGTCATTGCAGTTTGACTGGCTGGGATACATCAAGAAGGTGATTGACACCAGACTGTACCCTGAGCTCAAAGATATAGGTCCTTCAGAAAATGTGATTGTCCGTGTTCCCCAGTACTTCAAAGATTTATTCAGGATACTAGAAAATGAAAGGAAAAAGTAAGGATCCTATGACGGTTTCACCCACACTTACAAGGGAACATCAAATGCTGGGCTTTTCCTGGGTTGTTCAGGTGCTTCAGATATTCTTGGAATCAGGTCTCTAGGCAAAAGGTCTGTTTGGTTTGTCTGAATGCGGATATAGATATTAACTTGTATGTAGCAGGAGAATTTCCAGTTTCAACAACTTTCTTTTTTACAGAAAACATGGGTTGCAGTAAAACTGCTCTTTCCAGACACATTCAACACCTCTTACTTTTATAGGGTCTTGTGTCTTGTGAAGTCATTTACACCTGTAGAATATAGTGGTAAAGTGCAGATAACTTAGATTAAATGTAGTAGATGTGCTTTGCACAGGGAAGCAAGATAGCTTTGGGCAGTGTGATGAATAAGTGTATGTGAAGATGACATCCCATTTCAAAACAACATTATTGATGACATCTAAGTGATTTCTGTGATAATTTGCTCTCTGCTGAGGCATAAAAATATTGTTAGGCTGTTGTCTCCAAAAATCATTCTTTGCTGATTGTACAGTATGGCCACAACAAAATTTACATTTCCAGAGAAAAGACTAATTCAGAAGCATTATTCTTATATTGTTGCTCTATGTCTTCAGTGACAGAATGCTTACATTAATTCACAGTACTTGTAAAAATAACACATGGATCGAACAATAGAAAAACAAGATGATTGCTCTGCCTACAGATCATCAGACATCCTTTCTTTATAAAATTCAAACAAATATTAGTGTGCCACTGATCTTGATGTACTGAAGAAAGCCTTCTAAATTATTTAGATTGTCCATGCTTTGTATCTCATAGTTATGTCAGTGGGGATAAAGTGGTGATATAGAGGATGCACGTGTAGCAAGACAACAGAGAATTAGTTATTCCCTGTGTCAAATACACTTACATGCAAATATATTCTGTAACTGCAGAGTAAATAACTGGAGACATTCCATTAGGGTCTTATTCAGGGAAAATCTGAGTATTCAAGAGGAGTTAAGCCAGCCTGTGTGTCATGGCAGAGGGAGGCTGGACTAATGACCAGAAAGAATGCCAACATTTCTTCAACAAAGCTCAAGACCATCTTCCTGATCCCCACAGGTCAGGAGGATGGGCAAAAGCAGTGTCTGATTTCCAGCATATTCATGCTACGTATCTTGTAGCTGATGATGGTTTAGGCATTTTCTGCTCAGAAATTTGCATCATAAAATGTTAGAAATGGCAAATAGTGCTCAACCCAAGCACATTTCAAATTCTTCTACATAAAATCCATCCAAAGAGTCACTGCATGATACAAACATCATGTTTATCTATTAGATGATAATGTTCATTACTTAAAATGTCATAGTCTGCTCCAGGAGTAACCTTGTTATCTGACCTGAGAAAATTAGGAAATCATCTTAATGCAAACTCCTAACAATGAGGTCTAACATTTTTCTGTAGGGTGAACTCTGAAAGCTTAACAAGGATATTCTCCTTTAGGTAATCTCATTTGTCATTCTCCATATGATATTTTAAAGGTTAAATTAATGCAAACAACATGAATGTTGTTTCTCACAGTAAATATCTAGACCAATCAAATTCCTAGTGAAGCATTCCAAAATTTTAGATTTGCTTCAGTGATTAGAATGTGAACTAACTTCTCATCATTTTAGGAGATTCAGTGTCATTAGGAAAAGCACGTGCTTTCACCAAGTTCATACCCTTTTCAGTTACAAACTTCCTGTCTCTGAATGACACTTTTATTCCAATGCCTTGTGTATCCCCTTCCCAGGTGAGCATCCTGCTGGCATGGATGCTATTCAAAATAGCACAAAAAGATGCTTCATGCCCCAGTGATCTGGCAAAGTACTCCATGAAGTTTCTTTCAGGTGGAGGGAAGAATGGAGCAAAAAATAAATCTGGCTACAGAAACAGTTCTTGATAATGGAGGTGACAAGTTGAATGGACTCACAATCATCATATTAAAATTTGCTCCCTTGGAGAACCTGCTGAACAGTCTTGAATTGTGAAATCATTCACATGGCAATGTTACTAGAAAATAGCACACTGGCAGGGTGTACAGTGAATTTAGTAGAATAAGACTGTTATTTACTATGCCCTGCTGCATATAATCCAGTTACTCTATGGAGCTTGAAATATGTGCAGCGGTGTGGTTTGGAGGTCTGTCCAAAATTCCCAAGCCAGGGCACTGCTGTGAGTCCAGCCCAGGAGCATGGCTTTCCGTAGCAAGCTGCCCGAGAAGCTGAGTAACTAGCTTGCAGAAGTTTCCATCAGCCCTGGGCTAGCTAGCCTAAGTCATGTCAGGTGTTCAGTGCAGAAGTTGAGTAACACCTTCTTCTTGAGCAGTCTTCAAGGATTCCTTCAGTTTTTAGAGTTTATACCTATTACAGGAGTTTATACCTATAGAGTTTATACCTATTACAGGAAGAAGAGATGTATGTTGAAAACATAGATGTAGCTATGTATAAGTGAGATAATGGCGGAGCTCCAATACAGCTATGCCATCTGGGGCTGGGGGGAGATGGGACTGTGCTGGCACCAATTAGGACCCCATTATATCCCTTCCCTGTCACCTGTGTGCTGGTGCTTTATGTGTAAGCCATAAATAGGATACAGTAAATTGTGTCTTTGTTGGACATGTTTGTAGCTGTTGAAGGAAGCAGCTTTATTGTTCTCATGAATGTCAAAATAAATAACTTGTTTCCTTTGCCCTACCTTACCCCAGCTTTACAGTAAGAGACAATCAATAGAGTACTCGAATTCCTGCAGCATATGAGGAATATTCTTTAGAGAGGGATGAGGGCGCTAGATCTCCTTTCTGGTTTTATCTTGCCTCTGAAAAATTAGAGAGGGAAGTTACAATAATCTGACTTGAACTAGTGCCTCTAGCAATCGAGGCAAAAGTTTTTCAGTACTCATAATTTGGTTCGTGACTCAATACATTTTTCCAACAGATCTCAAAATTTGTGAAAGGGATCTTTTTTGTAAAATGTCAATTAATTTGTCCATCTATGTCATATTAATCTGTCCTCTTTAATTGCCATGTCTGTTGATTAAAATATTACAAAATCACAGATTTTTACATGGGCAACCTACTTTATTCCCAGACAGAGTAGAAAGTTCTTTGGTATACATTCATAAGATGATATAATTTTAACTGTCCCAGCAAACAAGCTCTCTCCACTTCCTTTGGGAGTGTGTATCACAACAATGGTCATATTGGTTAAGAGCGAGCCTACTCTTCTTTCCATAACAGTCATCTTGAATTTAAAATAAGGGACTAATAGGGAACCTTTCTGAAAGGTTGCAATAACAAAGAGCCTGGTCTCATCAAAAAATCAGAGCGGATTTGTATGTTTTATTTGTGTGTTGGATTTTTGCTCCATGTGAAGAGGTTAACTTCTTAGAGCCTCAGTGAATTTATTTGTGAAACTGAGGTGAAAATCACCCTAGGATATGCACTGAAGACATTTTATAAACAAAAAATGTCAGTTTTTAAACCAAATGAAGATGACCAATTGATCTAAAGTTTGTATAGTTAGCCAAAATGGTAAAATGGTCATTTCCAAAATAGGTAAACAAATTGAGATAAAATATGATTTTGTTTTGTTTTGTAAAACAACTAGTTTTAGGATGTGTCAGCCTTCCTTCTCTTCCCAAATTAAAATAAACCTGAATTAATTGTGGGATATATCTTGAAATAGGAACAGGTTTTTTCATTACTTATGCCTGATACAAGGGTTTTTGAATTTCCGTTGATATTAGTGTCTTTGAATAAGTCACCTTGTCGAGACTCATCCTTTGCAAGTTTTAGTCTTTCATTCGCTACGAGTTTGACAGAGGTTCCACGACTCAAACATAAGGACAAACACTGCTGGATGAGAACAAGGACACAGACAGGAGAATTGATTTTTAAATTTTTTTTGGTAGCAATTAAGTACTGAAATGTAAGACATAATTGGTTTATGATAGTGGTCTATTTAGCTGAATTTTTTTACCTAAATCTTTTGATTGAAATTAACTCTTTAAGCCTTTCAGTCTGTAGGACTTGCATAAATACTCTTTTAGATCCACAGAATGGTTACTACAGTAGCATGAATGCTATTCGGCTCTGCTGAAATACCTGAGGTGGGTATAATTGTGAGGCTTGTGGATTTCAAGTCATTTACAAAACCAATGAGAGCTGAGCACTTTTAGGGTGCTTCAGTTGTCACTGAGTGAGGAAATTCTCCATTGTCAGAAATGTATTCAGGGGCAAATCTATACATTCTGGTATTTCATAGGTTGGAATGAATTTTTAATGAGCCCAAGATTATCTCAAAATGTTTTGATCATCTAAGCAGAACTAACAGGTTTTGCTTTTGTAATAACATGTACTGTGTTATAAATGTACATTATTCATGCTAAAAAGCTTTTTCAGATACGTGTTGAATACATATCTGATACAATTATTGTGGGGATTTATGTGTACTATATGATATATCTGTATACTAAAAGAGGGAATGTGCCCAGTGTGAGAGATGAGGAGGAGTATAAAACACAGGATTTATAAACCACAGAAGTTGCCACTGGCCACACAGATCAGTGAGTATGAAGCCTTTGAGGTGACAGTTGGCTTGAGATTGAACCCTCAAGTTTTCCAGTGTGAAATGAGTTGACCATATTTCTGACGTGTAAGCATGTGCAGGCTTAACTGATGAGTAAACCAGCCTTTGCCCAGGCTGTCACGGATGCACAACTGTGGTGCAGGTTCATGTGAGTATGCAGACTTGTGGCTAGCTTCAGTTCAGCTGGAGCAGCCTGCAGGGACAGCCAAATGCAGTGGCCCTGCAGAGCACCTGCCTTCACTGGCCGTTGGCTGCTGTGCTTGGCCAGACTGGTCCCCAGTGCACGTCTCGGCCAGTCTGTGGAGAGTGCACAGCCACCCACCCGCTCTTCGTGTAGTGTCCCACTTGGATGCGTGCATGCTGCTGGGTTATCATGTGCTCAGTTACTAACAGACAGTATGTAGCTATAGCTTGCCTTAAACCTCTTCATTCTCACCTCTTTATAACTTCCTCAGCTAGTGACCAAGACTGTAAGCTTCCAGCAGCAACACATCTTGAGCTGGAGGCTTTGTTTGGGTGAACTGGAGCTTGCTTAGAGGCAAAACTGAAGTTATGGCTCGGGCAAATGATTCTATGAAGACAATATGCCCACAAAGTGTGTTTATAACCTGTTACGATTCAGTATGGGATGTGTCCTGAATGAAGCTAATGGAGTGACACTGTAGCAACAGCTATTCTGTTCCACACCTATGGCAATAAGAGATTTCAGAAATGAGGTTTTTAGAGATGAAGGAGTTGTTCAAATGGTCCATAACAGCATCTTTGGCTGCAAAGGAGCAATTTTCCTCCCCACTGAGAAGTCTGTGGCCTGCCCAAAACCTTATGAATATCCCAGTGTAGAGCAAACAACATTTGGATATCCATAGCTTTAGAGCAATTACTATCCTTGAAAAATATCATGTCAGCAAGATGAAAATAATACACGTAGGACATTACTGGGCTTGTTCTGAGACTGAATTTGAATTGTGTATTTCACAGTGCACCTTTACCTCATACAGCCACTGCTGAGCATGGAGAGAGCTCAGTCTAGACTAGATAAATCCTACAGTCAAATGCTTGAAATTTTAGACAACAGGCATGGATGTCAGGTCTTCTGGGAATTTTGAACAAGTTCTTGCTGAATCTCTCAGTCTCAGTTCTTATGTGATTCTTGCTACTGAAACTTTTCTTTTTTAGTATTTCAATTATCCATCTGCAAACTGACAGTGGTAATACTTTAATAACTCTGTGTGTAGTAAGAACTTTTAAAAGCATATTGAAAACTTCTAATGAAAGATACAAATATGAGATAATGATAATATGTATGGGATGGACTGTTATCTATTCTGTTTCATAGTTATGATTTATGTGCCCTACTAATGAGGAGAGATAACATTCACTTTGATTTACAAAAGAAAAATCAGTTATTTTCTTATCTTGACAGAACTTTTATGCAACTATTATTATGACACAGTTCTAGCCACTTCTGTGGAAAATGAAAACTGCTTTTTGAAAATAGCATTGCCTAAAAATTACATACTAGGAGATTATAAATATCCCCTAGAAGATCGTTATCATAGTACAATTACATATTAACTGACTGCAATCATACAGATTGTTCTGTGTAATAGGGATTTATCAATTTGGTCATCACTCATTAATTTTCAAGGTGAAATTCCCACGATTCAGTTGAAATGTTTGTAGATATATTTCTGTGAGTGCTTTGTGGTACATCATACACGTTTAGATGTCTGATAAACATATGTCTGATTTAATAGGACTCTTGCCAACTACCTGGTGTGGAGGATGGTTTATTCAAGGTTGTTTAATCTCAGTAGACGTTTTCAATATCGGTGGCTGGAATTTTCTCGGGTAAGTTAGAGTTTTTATAGCATTTACAATGGTACAAGTGTTGACACTACTGGTTTCCCTTATAGTTGCTTATACTTATAGTTGCTTATATTTGCAAAATGTGAAATGTATTCCATGCTGGATAAATTTCTTGAATAAACTTTTTTTTTGTCAAAGACTTCTAAAATAATTAAGACGTACATATTCTTGTACATGACACTAAGGAAAAACGTCTTTTAGATTAAGTTAAGGAGTTTTTGAGACCTCCCCTTTAAAAAACATAGTCTTCTATATGCAGAATCTTGAGGTGGAAAGTTTCTGAGTTACATGCCAGGGCTGTGACCTATGCTATTCTTTCTTGGCCAAAATCTTACTGTTTATGCATCCATGAACATAGCTCTGGTAAGCCAAAAGTCTAAGATTTCAGCTTTTCTAAGCTTGCTCAAACCTCTCTCATGCTCTAATGCCAGCTTTACATGAGCTCTAACACATCCATACACTAGCTGCTTCCACAAAGAAGCTGGCCAGGTGCCTTCCATCTTGGGATTGCAGAAGCCCCAGAAGACATTAGTCATTGCCCCAGACTATGAAAGCCGAGCTAATTATCTATGAATATGGGCACATGTATTTGTGTATGTGTAAATTTGTGTAAAACACATATATTTGATTAAGTGATCTCTGAATAGAAAGACATCCTGATAATCCTGTGGGCAGTGTGAGGACTCTTTAAGCAAATCAAGGATGAAATGGAAAGCGAAAAGTTTAGTTTAGATGGTGAACTTTTTGTTTCTCATTATGAAAATTAGCGGCTTGGTGATATCATGACAACAGGAGGCTGGCATGATGCTGTCAGTTATGTGGTACGGGAGGTGTGGGTGCTCTGTCCTCCCTGGTGAGTCATGCTGGTGGCTAATTGAAGCACCCATAATATCTTTCCTTGAGTAGTACTGGAATAGTTCTGAGTTGATCACAAAACCAAAAATAAACTCCAATAGCCTGATAGAAACTACACAGGAAAGGACGTCTTCTATACTTCGGAAATATTCAAATCAGTCTTGTTAAAGATGCCATTTTCTTCTTGCAAATATGTGAGAAACTGACTATCAGAACCACAGTGACAAGTTTGTAAGTGTGTCCCCTCCTGAGACATTCCTTGCTAGCCAGGTAAAATAGATTAATGCTGGCCATCAGCCAGTCTGCAGCATAATACTGAGTTATATTGAATTACATTTTGGCCAGAAAAATTCCTGGAAGGAAACTTTAAACTTTGGATACTGTGCGTTTTGATATGGTAACTAGCTGCTGTCACATCTCTGAGTAATTTTTCCAGCAGCCTAAGGAGAAATCTAATTCAAGTTGATTCAATGCTTATTAACAATGTCATCAAGGCTTTCATGTTAGTGGTTGTGAAAACTTAAGAACACCACAGTAAGGGCAGTGAGTCAGCAGCTCATTCCCATTACCTGTCCCTGGGACCTGGAGATGGAGAATTAGTTAAATGCAGTAAACAGCAATAGCTAATAGTTAATAGATAAAGTTAAGCTCAAGTAAACAGCTCAGGGGAACAGACTTCACAGATCAGCAGAAAGGAAATGAGAAAAGGAGTCCAAGGCAAAGGCTTTCTTGAACAGACTTTTCCAGTTAGAAGCTAGAGGACTAAAGGCACGCAGGTCCTTTGGGATCATAAACAGGACCCACCAACCTCTTGCCAGGTAAGTGAGGAAAACCTTGAATGACTGCTAAAATCACGTGACCATGAGATGAATCAGTGACCCTTTGCTGTTCAAAGGGTATCTTTTATTCATTCATTCATGAATTCAGTCAGCCTCACCCATCATAAGCATAGTATATTTTTCATCAGGTTCTCATTTTCTGTTAGTGGTTTTTACATCCTGCATGTAGAAATCTTGGCATCAAGACACTTAAACTCTTTGCAAAGAGAGGGAAAAAAACTTCAAAAAACTTCAGGTTGAGAAATAGTACAAACCTGCTGACTCTGGAGAAAGTGCTTTGATTACCACATCAGCAACTGTCAGCAGCTTCTCTGCTGCAATGCTTTGAGTCCTAGCAAATGTGCAGTGGCACCTGGGGAAGAGATCAGTCAACTGTGTTCTGGAGCTCTGAATTGGCTGGGAGGGCTCGAAACCTGCTATTTATAGTCACTGTTACTACCTGGAGTACTGTTTCAGAGCAGTGCATTAATATTAGGAGGACAATTTTGAGGGAGTTCTAGTTGGCTGTTGTAACATAAATATCAATAAACCAGCTGAGAGATATAATCTATTCCTCTCAGCTCTATTTTTATTGGTCTCACATCCTGTGCTGCTTTTCTGTCCTCCTTACTGTCAAGCCCCCCTCAAAATAATGATAATTATTATGTTGTAGTAATAATAATATGTCACAGTCTAAAAGCCATCTCTGTCTCCTCTTTCTGCGGCTGATGTGTAGTCAGAGCTTTTGGAAGGATTTTCAAGCTCTGATGACTAATGCCATGACTTCCCTTCTTCCTCTGCATCAAGAAAAACCTCCAGTGTGGTTTTGCTTGAACCCTGGAGAGAATTTTTCTTCTTTTTTATTTCTTTTGCTTTTTTTTTTTTTTTTTGAGTTCTGTATTATATATGAGGGTTGAAGAATTTCAAGAAGGAGTTTATTTTCAAATTTGGCACTGTTTAGGAAACTATTACCTTATTATGTGTTGGTTTGCCTAATGTGGTTTCTTATAGAAGCAGTGTTCTCTCTGTCATTGAAAATCTATTAGTGAACATACAGTATTAATAAAAAGCATTTGAAAATGCAATTCACTGGTGTATTTAAGTATGAGTCATTGATTAAGCTTAATTACAGACAATATGATGGAGAAAATCAATCTTTGAACTACCAAAATATCTGACCTTCAATAGCTGAGGGATAAGGTACTCTGGAAATTTCCAATGAAATCTTTTCCTATTGGAAAAAAAAACAAATCCAACCCCTTCAGTTTTGCTAGAAATTCAATCTTGTGCTCAGAGGAGGAGAAGACAGAGAAGAGGCACAGAAACTGCTAGATCCATGCTTAAGAGCCTTGTATAATTTGGGAGAGGCCAAAATCCTATGCAGTTTGACCTGGTCTGGTGTTGACTGTACTCAGCTGATAGGTGTTAACTACTGTACTGGGATTTTACTTGTTATCTGTGGAAAAGCTTAAGAAGTTCCTTAAGTAGAAAGGGGACTCTTTCTGCCTTGAAAACATTTTCTTAAATCAGCACTGTTATTGCTTACATGGACCCATCTTGTATTTTGTTGTGCATACTTTATTTTTAAAATGAACTTCTACTTTGATGAGAAAATGTAATGTTAACTTGGTAAACATCCACGGTAACAACATTCTTTCTGTGAGAAGCAGAAATGAAGGCAGCAACGTGCTTGAGTTCTCTTTTGCCTTGTTCATTGGTGCATTGACCATTCTTGACTATTTCTCTTTTGAAGCCCATGTATAGTGGTGCAGAGACATCATCAGAACCTGGAAGTGTCTATTTAACCACTGTTCCTTTAGTAAAATATGCAAACTCTTCTACCAGCAACTTTCTACTATAACATGGAGTGAGATATTTGGGGGACAAACACATTTTCAGTGTTCAGTGTTCTTGATGTTTCAAACGTGTTTTCTCCTGAAAATATTCTGTTTGGAAAAGGGATTGAAAGCAACAGTCTGTGGTAAGAGTAACCAGACAGGTGAAAGACAAAAAGGTAACACATACCTACTGATGTTAGCCATCATTAGTTAGCACAGATCATGACAGTGGAGGGCCCTGTAGGAGGTGTTTCATAAGGACTGACCTAATGTTCATGAGGATGATCTCCCTAGGCTTCTCACCTAGTCACCAGAGAGAGAGAAACTTTTTTTTTAGAGATACCTCAGAACAGGGATTTTCTAGAGGAAAATGTCTCTCAACACAGAAAGACTACCAAGATTAATCTAAAATTGGCACTTGGGAATGCCTTCCCTTAAATGACCCTCTAAGTCTAAGCCTAGCCTAAGTCATTACTGTTGTACTGTTTTTAAGTCTAAAATCTTACAGGTGTTTTGTGGAGTTCAGAAAATTTTTCATAGCACTTGATGAAAATGGAAATAACTGTAAAGTACCATTATTGTTTCTTTTTAGTAGCTATTTGACAAATATGCTTTAGACTGTACTGTATGTGGACGCAGACTTGTTCTTAAGCAGTATGATATTATGATCTGCTACATGCACCTGCCAACAGGTGATCCACGGAACCACAACTCTGCTGCCTCAGTGGGATAAATGTGTGGACCTCGTTGAAAGTGCACTCCCTTATGTTGTGGGTAAGATGTTTGTGAATGCCCATTTTCAAGAAGACAAGAAAGAGATGGTGAGTCCTCAGAGATCTCTGTCTAGAAACTTAATGGCTTCCTTCTCACAAGTTGCCTCTGATGTTACACCAAAGTTTAAAAAAGACAAAATTCTTAAAAATGCTTTAATTGAATTAAAAAAAAAAATGACAAGGAGAAAATGGAAGAAATTTGAAGAAATGTCACCTTTCTGGGCACTGCCCATTCTTTCCATCTGCAGCCCTTCAGACAAATATGCAGCCAGATCAAACAGGCTGAACACTGTTAAATTGCGTATAATAATCATGACAGACAGGATGTGCAAGAACAGAGAGAGGGGTATTGATGAGAAATGGTTTAGTATAGCTGGTGTAACTAATTATTGTGCAGTTTTTACTGACTAGTTGGAAGACTGATCAAGATTTTTCTGTTTTAAGGGGACCCTTTAAAGTTGACTGTGCTACACCAGTAGTCTAAGCAAGAAAAGTGTGACTGATGTCTGGCCCAAATTAAGGGAAGCTTAGAGCCATATAGTGAGACTTTATATTTGAGATTCAAATCTTTTTTGCTCATTTGCTCAGTGGTAAAGTATTCTTCCCTGCTGCAGAGTCTAGAGAATAGCTTTTAGCTGGATGTTCATCCTCATTCTAAACCTTCAAACATAGCTAAATTATCACTTCTCTTAATAACATATTCAAATTATTAATTACCCTTCACAGTAATTTATGACTTATTTTCAGTTCATATTTTTCTCATAAAGTTTTCCAGTATCTGCTTTCCCAGCCAGTGATTTTCCAACAATAATCAGTTTTAAATTAACTAATGTAGTCACTGAAATCTCTATGCAGGAGAGGCACAACCATTTAGGAAACATGTGAAATAGCATCCTGTGCTGCAAGCGACAGCTCTCTGATAGTCCTGCACTGCCCTGGCTCAATAGCCTGAGTTTGTCTGTTTGACTTTATCTAGTTTGACTGTTTTCTCAGAAAAGGACTCCATTTTAGACAGACCAACACTCTGATTTGGCTTGTTGAAATCTTTATGACATGTGTTTCCCTCTCAGGTTCTGCATTTCTTTTGTTACTTGCCTTCAGCTGGAATTTCCATTCTGAGATCCAGCTTTTCAGTTCTCTTCTCCGTGATCAAGTTTGTAATGTGCCATTTGGCAGTTTAGTGTCAAAAATATTTCAGTATGACCTCTGCGCAGGATAAGTGGGAAGAGAAGGACTATAAAAATGTACACTTTACCGAGGAGACAGACACTTTTTCATGTTTGTGTATCTGAGGGAAAATTATAAGAAGGTGATATAGTTTTCTGTTGAAATGTGACCTAGTTAAAATATTTCTAAGCGTGTACATTCCTTTCAGACCAAATCTTAGAAAAATTATCAAGTCTGAAGTCACAGAAGCATTCATAGTAAGAAATTAATATAAAATTTATAGTGTAAATCATAAGATTCAGACTTATGGTGAACTGCCCATGGAGTTAAAATTAGATATAGGTGACATTTGTTGCAATCCATTTAAAAGTGTGCTTTTCCAGTTAATAATTTGTGATGTTATCATTTTTATTTCACAGATTTTCAGTTATATTTCTCTTTCTTAACTAGTAAGAAAGCACTTGACAAAAGTACTCTTATTTGTACAGATTTTTTTTTTATTTTATTTTATGGCTCATGGCATATATCTGTCTATGATAAGCAAATTCTGAATTATGGATAATATGGATTCATTTTCCTCCTTGTTTTTTCACTGATGTTTTATACCTTAAATACTTCTCTCCTTTTATAAGGAAAGACATTATTTGTGTCTAAATATAGCCCTGTTTCTAACCCAGAGTGCCTGCAGTGTTTCTTACAGCTATGCCTGAGCAGTTTCAGTAATAACTTTGATAGCAGGAATAGGTTTTTCCCCCTGCCCCCTGCAGCTACAGCTGGTGCATAAAGCCTAAGTATACACCAGGGCCCAGCTGCAGAGCTTGAGTTTGAACTTGTAACCTCCAAATACAGGGAGTTCACCTCATTAGTGCACTAAGTTAATTGACTCAGTGTTCTGTCATCAATATCTTTAAGTTACCCTATTCCCTGGGATGCAGTTTACTGTGAATGTTGACTGTTTAGTCATATTTAATGCTAGACCTGTTCCAGTTGTCCCATATTGTCTCTAAAAAACACGAAAATGTTTTTTGAAAAGGTTAGGAAAATTGAATAATCAAAGGAGCTTCACTGTGTGGCTCCACCACAAATAAAGAACAATTCCAGATTAAAATATACACCTGATACATAAATGACAATTTAGCTAAAGGTAACGTTACTTTCCAGGGTTAAGTCCCCACTTTTAATGACATTTCAGAGTTACTAGATCTATAGAATAAAAATATATAAATCTCTGGTACTTGACATTTTCATTATTTTTAAATGTAACATAACTGATAACACAAAGATCCAGTAAGTCTTCATGTAATGATTATCTGTCATGTCTTGTGCTGACTCAACTCTGGTTTGGTCTGTGCTAAAGGACTCAAGCAATGGCTGGATCCCCTGAATTGCCTCATCTCACACTATTCTCAGTGGCTGTCATGAGGTTCATCAGTTGATATAAATAGAAACAGCTGATTGTGTACACCTTTCTGGTCTGTGCCGCCTGACGGATGCATAGGCATGAAGGCATTTCCACTCTTTAGACTGATATAATGCACCTTGTAGCTATCAGATTTCTTGTTTTCTGTCATTTCAGAGTTTTCTTAGTGTATAGCCTTACTAAATGCTCCTATTATTATTTTTTTTTACTTGCTTGTGGCTTTGTATAGGTGTCTGAAGAAGCAGTCAAGCTTAAATGCTCACGGGTTTTCCTAGCTTTGCACAGATGCAAGCTGTCATTTGTGGTTCAAGACCACAGAAGCAGTTAAGGCTGCTCAGTGTTGTGAGCCCTGGCCTCTATCCCTGCAGTAAGTAAAGGGTAGGAGTACTTCACAAATACAGCTAAATACAGGCTAAGTATTTGGATACTGCTTTGTATTTGGATCATGATACTGTCAGCCCAAATTCAGTCCTTGAGGCATGTCCCAGTCTGACAGAAACAAAACAAGGCTACAGATTCTTTCTCTGCAGAAAGGTTTTATTTGTGCAAATACCTTGCAGCTGGCTCCTTCTTCTGCATAGGCTAGTGATCTAGAATCAAAGTGCCAAAAATCTCCCCAAATCACTGCAAATTTCCCAGTATTTTTTATGATTTCAAGACAGATATCCTCACAATTGTGACATAAAAGGTCTACAATGTACAGGTTATGTGGAGGAAAAGAAAATGGAAAGAAACTTACTTTCAGAGGAAGCATCTGAGAACTGGAGAAAGAAGAAAAGAAAAAACAAGAGAAAACAGCAGATACTGTCTGATTTGGAATCATTCATATAGTCTAACCAAATCCATCACTCCTGCATGCACCAAAACTTTTCTTGTAATGATTCTGCCATGAGATATTTTACTGGGGAGGGGTCTGCTAAATGTTTTGCAGATGGAGGAATTGACTGAAGGAATTCGCTGGGCTTTTATTGACATGTTGGAAAAGGAAAATGACTGGATGGACTCTGAAACAAAAAGAAAAGCTTATGAGAAGGTAACAAATATAAATGTTGAATGGGTAAAATCCTTTTACAGTGAAGATTTGACCTGACTGAGAACAGAATGCCATGAAGTGTACTTGCAGTTTCAGTTACTTAGCCATTGTTTTGTTTGTGAAGGGACATGTGCCACATTTGTTTTTCTCGAAGTTGATGTGTCTGAGGTTCTGCTGCCTCTCTGCTGGAGTTATTTTTGTTACCTCGTTCTTCCTCCCTTGCCTCCATCTTTCCCCATCTGACTCTGGGTGATGTAGACTGTGAGACTATTTCAGATTTGCCTGTACAGTGTCTTTTCTGGACAAGGTCTTCATCTTGTTTGGGATCTCAGGGGCACACAAACCTGAAAACAGAAAATGGTGTCTAAAATATCTGGAACAGCTGAGGGTATTTGGTGTGAAGATGAAGGATCCAGCCTAGAAGGGGATATGAGAACAGTCCAGGTCTCGTACCTTCTCCAGTATTGTGGTGGGAGCCCTACCTTGAAGGCTGTCTTCCAGGAATGCAATAACCATCCCAGCTGAATACCCATCTCCCGATAGAATAATGCCAGTTATGAAGTGTTATGATCAAAGATGGCATTACTGGTCCTGATTACTTTTGGATGGAGTGGCAATAAAATGCAGGAGGTAAAAGTGAAGGCAGAAGGAAGTACTCAAATCTCCCTTTTCACTCTATTCCCACATTTACAATGTGATAGGTAGAAGGGGAGCTTGTCCAAATGCAGAGGTCTGCCCCCATAGCAGCAGCTGGAAGAGGCATAAACAAAGACAAATGGAAGACAATATGTAGGACTGTCTCCTCATTTGTTGAGGCAACAGGATATCAGTGAATTAGTAAATAGCCTCTTTGAATAAACTGACACACAAGTGCAGTTGAACTGTTCCTGCTCACTGTGCTTGAATAAAAATAGTGATGTTTAGATTTAAAAATAAACACAGACTTCAAAGTTTTTTGGTAATTCTGATGAAAAGGCTGTTGAGACACTTTATCACTGAAAAGTTTTAAATTCCATATACACCCCATTTACATTTTATACAACAGAGCTCTTCACAGATGTGCAAATGAAATAGACTTGCATAAGTGCACCAATCAATTCTATAGCAAGAGAACAATAGCAAGATGCTATTTATTTCCTACTAACCTGATGGTAAATGGACTGCACTTATTACTTCTTACTGGCTGTTATGCTTGTTTTTTTACTAGAAATACCCTTAGAAATATAATGATCTGTAAGTGAGATATTTGAAAAAATTGATGCAAAATAAGAGCAGGAAGATTTTCTGATTATTTCCTTAACAGAGGTATTTCTATATAACTTTACAGGCACATGCAAGTCTTGATGTTGATTTTTCTAGCAAACAATTTGCTTAACCATTTTGTTCAATATTTGCTACCTGCCTTTCAGTAGAGAAACAATACAAGCATTACTGCAAATTAATAAACTCCCTAAAAAGCTCTTCCTTTCCCAATTTAGGGAGAGTTTTGTTCAGAAGGTAGGTTAGCTCTTTTGTGGGTAGAGATGCCTGTTTCTCTCTCTTGACACATTTAGGAAGCTTATGGCACTTTGCTCCCAATTTAGGCAGGCATCTCATTTAAGTTTCTGGAGTTAATGGGGTGAGTCTGGGCCAAACAATGCATGACAAACTACGTTCAAGCAGTACAATAAAAATAATACTACAAGCCATAGTATTACAAATAGCAAATGGTTTAAATCCATTCTCACTGACTTGAACAACAATTTTATAGTTTACTGACACTTGTAAGACACAAGTGTTATGTTATGACTTAGAAATTGCAGCAACAATTATGCAGTAGGACTTATGAATGTAAATTTAAGTTTCGATTCACAGGAACAGCTACTTGGCTAGAAGGGAACAGTCTGGAGAGACATTTTGGTAGATTTCCAGACATGGAGTTTGTGCATGTTTATTAAATACTATTTATTGCTAATGATATATATTGAATTTGTCCTGGGACATTTGGATGGGTATGTTTTTAATTCAAGAAATAGATTCATTATGTGTATGTTTAGATGATTCAATGGAGAATTTTAAGATTTATAATATAACAGAACCTTCAAAATCTGTTACTCTGTTCCAATTAAATCTCATGAGCCCAGCACACTATGCTGTCACTTTTTAACACTTACACTTTAATAAAGCAGCACAGACAACAGAAATTTTGGAGTGGGGTTTGTTTGGTTGTAAAAAAAAAAAAAAAAAAATTACCCAGCATTACTTTATTGTATAGATCCGTAAAAGTGACATTGCTTCATCCGTAATTGTCACCCACATATGTTAGGATAGTGCAAGTGATGTGGATTTCACTATTTAGGAAGGAACTTGGTTTGTTTTTGAATTGAAGAGCAAGTTCTATCATCTTGGGGGTCTTCTCAAGTTTACTCTTCATTTTGGATCACTATCAAAATAGAGACTAGTGTTATGACAGAGCACAGGGATATGCTTCTTTCAGACACAGGCAGAAAGGATGCTCTGCTTTGATCTTCTGTATAGCTAAACTAGTATTTTACTCAATTATTGCTGGGCTGAGACCAATAACACATCAGAAAACTGTTCTAGTTCTCTGTGGTTTCTAACACTTCTGTGGAATTTTTTTACTAGGGTAGGATATTCTGCTTGGAAAGAAATTTCAGTTCTGTGTGAGCATCTTCTGCTTGTTTCTATTTCCAGAACAAAAGATGGCATGTGCTTCATTATTAATCTGATATCTTTCTATAATAAGGTCTCCTGCCTCGTGGATGAAGGGAAGATGGTGAATGTAATTTTTCTAGATTTTAGTAAGACTTTTGATACTGTCCCTCACAGCATCCTTCTGGACAAGTTGTCCAACTATGGGATGAGCAGGTTGATGGTGCTCTGGGTGAAGAATTGGCTGAACGTCAGGGCTCAAAGAGTTGTAGTGAATGGGGCTGCATCTGGCTGGTGACTAGTCACTAGCAGTGTTCCTCAGGACTCAATTCTAGGGCCAGTTCTGTTCAATATTTCTATCAATGATCTGGATTCAGGAGTTGAATACACCATTAGCAAGTCTGCTGATGATACCAAACTGGGAGGTGCTGTTAACTCACTGAAGGGACAAGAGGCCTTGCAGAGGGATCTGTATAGGTTGGAGCATTGGGCAATGACTAATGTGATGAAATTTAGCAAGTGCACATGCCGGATTCCGCACCTCGGGCGGAGTAACGCCGGGCACAAGTATAAACGGGGAGAGGAGTGGCTGGAGAGCAGCCCTGCAGGAAGGGTCTGTGGGTGCCGGGCGCCGGCAGGCTCAGTGTGCGTCAGCAGTGCCCTGGCAGCCACGAGGGCAAACTGCACCCGGGGCCCATCAGACGCAGCATAACCAGCCGGACAAAGGAGGTGATTGTCCTGCTGTATTCAGGGTTGGTGTGGCCTCACCTTGAGGACTGTGTCCGGCTCTGGGCCCCACCATTTAAGAAGGATATGAAGGTCCTTGAATGTGTCCAGAGGAGGGCAACAGAGGTGGTGAAAGGACTGGAAGGCATGTCCTGTGCGGAGTGGCCAGGGACTTTGGGTTTGTCTGCTTTGGAGAAAAGGAATCTGAGGGGTGACCTCACTGCTCTCTACAGCTTCCTGAGGAGGGGAAGTGGAGAGGGAGGTGCTGAGCTCCTCTCCCTGGGATCCAGTGATAGGACACGTGGGAATGGTTCAAAGCTGCATCAGTCAGGGGAGGTTGGGACTGGACATTAGGAAACATTTCTTTATTGATATGGTGGTGAAACACTGGAACAGGCTTGCTGAAGAGGTGGTTGATGCCCCATGCCCATCAGCAGTTAAAGTATTTATACAATGCCCTTAAGGTTTCAACTTTTGGGCAGCCCTGCAGTGGTCAGGTAGTTGGAATAGATGATCGTTGTAGGTCCCTTCCAACTGAAATCCCCTCTCCCTCTGCCTCTGCCTCGCCTCGCCTCCCCCTCCCCTGTTATTAGTTAGGTAAAGAATGTCTTCTTCTTTTATGTTTTTATCGGTAGCTGTCACATTGTCCCTTACAGCAATGCAGAGTAGAGCTCCTGCCTGAAGTTCTATGGCAGAACTTGGTGCTGCATGGAAATAGCAGTGATTCATATATTTTGTCTTTGCTCTGTATTTTTAATCTCATTACATTCTTGAATTCTTCAAATGCTCTGGAAAGAAAGAAACTGAAGAAACCTGGTGGGTTTTGTTTACTGGGCCTGCTCCATGTGATCCATATAATTTGCATTAGCCTTTCCTTTAACATCAGGCATATTTGGGTCATTAACAAAGTTTTTACTCTTTTCCCGAGAAAATAATAATGTTGATGTGTAATTTGGATGTCTGGACTGTGAGCATGGAGAGCCTTCCTAGAAAAACTTCTCATCTTAGACTCTCTTCTGTTCCTTGTGGTGATTGTGTCTTTAGATGACAACACTGTAATGCAAATGACTTGGCAGGCTTTAAAGAGAATTAACTGCAAATCCTCTCTGTGATTTAGATACTCACTGTTTTGTGTGTTTTCTGATGCCTGTTTTCTGACTGATGCCCACCTGTCTTTTGCACTTGTCTGAGGCCAAACTTGTATACCTTGCTGTCAGCCTGATGCTTTGCAATCAAAGGGACCATCGACCTCTGAAGGACTTACAAAAGGCCCTCTGATAGAATCGATGCTTGAATTTTGCTTTAGGCAGCCTGTCAGCTCTATCTAATCACCGAAATATTTCTCTGTCTGTGACTCTGTGTCTGTTCTGTTGTTTTAAGTTACTCAGAGGGGACACTACTAATTTGATGAGCCCAAACCATATTAAAAGGATCAAATCAACTAGTCTATGTGACATAAGAAACAATTATCTTGCAACCTCAATTTCTGAGAATCACCCTTTTAACCCTTATATACTTGGAGTTAAGGTTTGACATTCCCTCTGTAACAAAACAATGTAATGAGATAACATCTAATAATTTCCTTCTGTCCTCCCTCCATTCCTCTCTTTCTGTGATTGAAA